CGTGATGTTCAGCATTTTTCCATGTGCCTATTAACTCATACTGGAAGTACTCTTTCTAGTCTGGTTCTTTAAGTTGAAAAACTTTCAAGTTCTTGCAATCATCAATAACATGTTCCATTTTCTTGTTGAATAGTATTCTCTCGGATGGATGCACCATTTGTATATTGGTTTACCATTTGAATAACATTTGAGTTCTTGCCAGTTTGGGGCTATTATTAATAGAGCCACAGTAAACATTGGCATGAAGCATTTTATGTGAAGAGAAATTCATGTTTTACGCGGGAGTTATTTTCGGAATGGGGTTACAAAGTTTTCCAGTGTGCAGATATTTATGAGCAATGAAAAACATTTCCCAAAATGTCTTTATCATTTTGCCTTCTGATGAGTCATTGAGGAGAGTTTCAGTTTCTCTCTTTTCCTGAGAGTTGTTTATGTTCTCAGTTATTTTATTTCTTTTATCCAAGATACAGTTTGCATACTTAATATGCATTCGGTACTAATTACTAATTATTTTATTTAATTTTAGGTGTTTATGAGTCACCTGTACAACGTATGTCCTATCTATGTCAAGCAATTGCTATTCAAATATTTTCCCACATTTAATTGGATTATTTGTTCTCTTACTAGTGAGTTTCAGAGCTCTTATGTATTATGGTTATAATATATATTGTATGAATATTGATGTGTATGTGTGGATGTTTGTGTGTATGTAAAATATATCTGTATTTGCATAACCAGCTGAAGAGAGAAAACTATTCTGTAACCTTGAAGGAATTCCCTAATACCACAGTGTTATATTCTTTGTCCATAATCCCTTATGACTACTGATTTCTTTTCCGTGTCTCTAATTTTTTCATTTTGAGAATAATATGTATGTGGAATCATAAAGTACATGTCGTTTTAAGATTGGCCTCCGTTTTACTTTGGCATGCACTTGAGATTCATCCAAGTTGTTACATGTATTAATATTTTCTTCCATTTTTGATGATAAATATTACTGGTATGGTTAACTGTGTTACAGGTATGGTGGTATGGTTATGTAACTATGGTTAAAACCACAGTTGAACCATTCACTCATGGAAGGACCTCTAGCCTCTCTACATTTTTAGCTATGACAAGCAAAGTTTCAATGAAAATTCATGTAAAAGCTCTTATGTTCATTTCTCTAAAATCAATATGCAGGAATAGAATTTCTGGGTCAAATGATACTTGCATGTTTATAGCATGTTGTATAAGAAAGTGTCAAATTGTTTTTCAGGAGAGCTGTACCATTTTATACTCTCACAAGAAATGTATGAATAATCCAGTTTCTCTGCATCCTTGCCACCTTATTGTGTGGTCATGTTTTAACAAGGTGTAGCCACTTTGACAGATAGAGAGCAGTTAGAACTCTTGATAGTTTCCTTGTGCATTTCCGTCATAGCCAATATGCTCAGCATCTTTGCCTGTGCTTCTTGGCCATTGCTGTGACTTCGTTGGCCAAGTGTTTGTTCAAGTCTTTCAATGATCTTGATCATTTTCTATTGAGTGTCTCTTTTCACCTGATGACTTTTAGATTTTTCAATAAGTGTTTTTCATTCCCAGTGAGTTTCCATGCAATTATATTTGTTGGAGTTTTGCACATGTCAAATTATTAATATTTTATGTTTATGCATTCTGACACAATGGATTTAGCCTAAATTTGAGGAACATTAGTTTCTGCATTTCTTTCTTCTAGAACTATAAGCTATTTTTACTTTTTCTATGTACGTTTGCTTTTCCATATATATGCCAATATATACATGTATAAGTTTCTCTGTGTAAGTCAGGATAGTATACAAAGGCCACATCCTATATATAGGATACATCAATAGAAAAGATTCTACTTGTTTTGCTCTTTGAGAAGGACCCTAGCTCTGAAAAATAATGTTAATAAAGAAATGCAGGGAAGTCGAGTATTGATTTATGGAATAGACAGAGTTTCTTGGTAAGACAGCCATTCAAAAGTCTATCAAGTACTGGTATGGTTGTACAGCTGAATGTAAGCACTTTATTAATCTAAAGCTTTTTTAAAAAAAATTAATGTTTAGGTATGGAGCTTCTATAAATAGGAAAGTATTATCACATATTAAATTAAGAGCTTTGGGGAAATGTTCAATCAGAAAATCATGAAATATACTGACAATGTTGGTATAATTGCAGGTTGGAGCAGACATTCATGAATAATGTATAGAACTGCAGTGTTTAGAAGGTTGGGGATGAGATTTCGGAAAGGATCCATATCATTATTAGTATTGATCTATATAGAAAACTAAATTGTTCATCAGTATTTGTATCAGTGTAATTATAAATAAATTGATGTCTTCAGAAGAAAAAGGTCATGTCTACATTATATATCACAAACTAGAAATCTGTCTTCCATTTGAGCCATGCTAGCTCGTCGGAAATGAATAGTCTTTTAACGTCAAATAGAATTGAGGACCAGTAAGAAGGGAAAATATTTCATCCTTTGACTTGCTCCATCATGACTGAGGACAGATTCTGAAAGTTCTATAGAGATCACAGAAGGAGAACAAATAATTACATAATTTGCATGGAAATTCAAAATCTTTGTATAGCCAAAGCAATGTTGTGAAAGAAGCATGGAATTGGAGGAACCAAGCTGCCTGACTTCAGGCTATACTACAAAGTTACAGTCATCAAGACAATATGGAACCAGCAGAAAGACAGAAATACAGGTCAGGAACAAAATGGAAAGCCCAGAGATAAATCCACCCACCTATGGACACCTTGTCTTTGACGGAGGAGGCAAGAGTATACAATGGAGAAAAGACAATCTCTTTAACAAGTGGTACTGGGAAAACTGGTCAGCTACTTGGAAAGAATGAGACTAGAAGACTTTCTAACCCCATGTACAAGAATAAACTCAAAACGCATTAAAGATCTAAATGTAAGACCAGAAACTATAAAACTCCTAGAGGAAAACATAGGCAAAAGACTCTTTGACATAAATGGCAGCATCGTCCTCAAGGACCCACCTCCCAGAGGAATGGAAATAAAAGCAAAAAATAAATGAATAGGACCTAATTTAACTTAAAAGCTTTTGCACAACAAAGAAAGTATAAGCAAGATGAAAAGACAGGCTTCAGAATGGGAGAAAATCATAGCAAATGAAGCAATGGACAATGAATTAATCTCAAAAATATGCAAGCAGCCCCTGAAGCTCAATTCCAGAAAAATAAATGATCCATTCAAAAAACGGGCCAAAGAACTAAACAGACAGTTCTCCAAAGAAGACATCCAGATGGCTAACAAACACATGAAAAGATGCTCAACATCACTCATTATCAAAGAAATGCAAATCAAATCCACGATGAAGGACCATCTCACGTTGGTCAGAACGGCTCCTATCAAAAAGTCTACAAAGAATAAGTGCTGGAGAGGAACAGTGTGGAGATTCCTCAGAAATTGGAAATGGAACTTCCCTACAACCCAGGAATCCCGCTGCTGGGCATACACACTAAGGAAACCAGAATTGAAAGAGACGCGAGTACCCCAATATTCATCACAGTACTGTTTATACTAGCCAGGACATGGAAGCAACCTAGATGTCCATGGGCAGACGAATGGATAAGCATCCATGCTTCACATGCACAGTGGAATATTACTCAGCTATTAAAAAGAATGCATTTGCATCAGTTCTAACGAGATGGATGAAGTGGGGGCCTATTTTAGACTGAAGGAAGTTAGAAAGAAAAACACCAATCCAGTATATTCATGCATATAAATGGAATTTAGAAAAATGATAACAATGACCCTATATGTGGGACAGCAAGAGAGACACAAAGGTAAAAACAGACTCTTGGACTCAGTGAGAGAAGGTGACAGTGGGATGATTTGAGCAAATAGCATTGAAACATGTATGTGAAACAGATTTCCACTAGAGCTTGGATGCATGAGGCAGGGTGCTCTGGGCTTTTGCGGTGGGAGGATCCTGAGGGATGGGATGGGGAGGGAGGCGAGAAGGGGGTTCAGGATGGGGAACACATGTACATCCATGGCTAGTTCATGACAAAATATGGCAAAACCACTATAATATTGTAAAGTATTTAGCCTCCAAATGAAATAAATCAATTAAAATGAAAGAACTTAAAAAAAAGAAAAACAGGCAGCACACCCAGGGGTCTTTCACTCATACATTTTAAATCACATTCAGTGACTGACTTTGAATCATCAGTGGGGTCACCCAGTCATTAGAGTGCCAGAAAATGTGAATCAGGCAGCTGCAGTCCAGATCAAAGATGACATATCATTGAGTTCCAATTTGAACACAACTCTTTGGATGCTGATAGTGAAACTCTGTGTTCTGGTTGCTTCTAAATAGTTTTCTGAAGACACCCAGGATTCTCATCATCAGAACCTCTGCCTTATATATCTCCATATTTGTTTAAATTCTCCTTGAGATTTTTAAAACATTTCAACCTGAAAGTTAACACCAAATTTGATATTGCATTCTCTTTATTTTAAACCATGATAAACTTCTAGAAGTTGGACTCACAAAAGACTTTATTTATCCATCATCAGTGCAGACTCCTAACCCACTCCACACCTCTACTCTCTGGCTAACTGGGGACCCGAGGGTCTGTTCCCCAACTTCTCAGGACCACATACCCCTCCCGTTTCCAGTGCCCACCTCTTCTCTTCTTTCTCTCCCTTCCATCAGAAAACTCACACACACACAAATATCATCTTTTCACCCTTTGAGATTTCTTTTATTTGCAGCCATCAGCTTACTATGTTAGTGTGAGAGTCTTTTTGGTTGGCCATTGCTAACAAAGCAGACCCCTGGAGACACAATTCTAAACTGTCTGACCTTTGCTATTCATTAACTGGCTGCCAACATTGTACTTCTCCAGGGTCTCTTATTTTGGGGCGGCTGAGCTTATTTTCTCTTTGGATTCTGCCTCCTTCCATGACGTTGCCTCATATTTTGGTAGCTTTTTCAGCTTTGATTTGATTTCTTACGTCCACAGCCAGAGAAGAATCGGTTTGCTTTTCTTGTTTTCTTTGGCTTCGTCGATTGAGTGGCATACGATCGGATTTTCTTTCTGAAGGTCCCTTGTAGAGGTCTTCTGACCCTCATGGTCATATTTCGTGCCTGGAAGACAAGACAAGGGTATCAGTTTGGAGGAAAGGCCATAAAAACTGAGGTGGAAGGGAGATTTCATGAGAAAGAAATGTGAGCTAATGGGGACATTTGTGCCAGGCATGGGCAGGGTAGAGGTCTTGGGCAGCAAAGTCAAAGCAGAACATGGGAAGCTTAGTTGGAATCCTCTTACCTTCACACCACGTCTGCCCCTCTTTGACAAAGGGTCTTCTTCATTCCATTCTTCCTTGAAGCAAACCGAATTGCACCTCTTCTTGACGGCCGTGGCTTCCTGGTTGCCTTAGTCATGATGGTGCCAAGAAGTGGCCTAACCCAGACTTTCAGCCTCTGACCTCCCTATTTATACCCTTTGAGGACAATGAAGAGCCACACCCTTCAATCTGATTGGTCTGTTAGGCACTGCCCCAGCCAATACTAGCTTGTGGGGCTTAGACATCACAATGCACCACTGTGACCATCAACATGGGCTAGTGGATGCTGAGGGATACCGTGATATATCTTTCCCACTGCTGACATGTCTGTGTGCCCGATTCTGGGGAGTGGTGATTCAGGGGCCTGGTGCTTCTCCTCATGACCTTAAAACTTCCTTTGCATTCCCTTTATCCTTTGACTTATATGTGCTACTTCATCCGTCATGCCTCTTTCATCCCTCTAGGTACATCTGCCAAACATTTTCTGTCCCAATACATCCCTTCAGAGTCCTCTAAGCACTTCATCTCTAGATCACCTTCTGCCTCTTGGGGATTCCTGAGGGGCTTAAGGAACTTAAGAGAAAGCACTTAAAGTGGACAAAGGTAATGAAGAGCAGGTTGGATGTTTTATCTACTGTTGTGAGCTTCAGCGACCCCCAGACTTGGTGAATCCTCAGTCTGTTGCCCAAAGGTCAATATACAGTCTCCATAAGAGTACACATCAGAGCAAAGACAGTTTTAAATGTCTCCTCCACTAAATGTTTTGGGGACACTTCAACTCTCATATTGAGTAGGGAAACTCAACTTGCCCCATTTAGCAGAAAAAAATTCCTGACTTTTGCTTTGTACAAGAGGAAGGTGCTCAAAGTCAAGAATCAGTTCACCACTGCATCGCTGACTCTTGACCGAATCAATTCCCCAGTCACCCCTCCTTGACCGTTATCAGTAGGTAGGGCCCATTGCAGTGCTGACCAATAGCTGGGCAGGGCAAGTACCTGTAGGTAGCTCATTGATAGGTGGTTGCTTGTGGGTGGGGCCAGTGAGGCACTGACCAATGGCTGAGCAAGTCCTGTTGCCTAGTAACAGGAGGCGGAGTAATAAGGCACAGCAATGGATACCTGGGCAGGGCTCTGCCCATGTTGCTCTGTTACATAAGAACACTTTGGGTCCAGTGTGCTGGCATCTTTTTGACTGACTCCTTTCCAACCTCAGATTTTTATTTCACATGCTTATTTAACTTTTGCCCATCATTCTTTCCGTTCTCTTATCAGGCATTCCTGTCACCAGCGCTTATCTCTATGCCCCTCCAACAGCTGCCACTTGATCACATGTTCCGCATATAGTATACATAGTTCAAAACCAACAAGAACGTGCCGGCCAGCCCACGTTGAAAACTACTTTGAGAAACCTTTACTTCACAGTGATTCCTTTTCTATTTACAGTGTAACAGAGCAGGATGAGCACAGCCCTGAAGAGGGAGCCTTTGGTGTACTCCATTTCAACCCACCCTGTTCCTAGGCAACAGGTGTTGCTCAACCATTGCTTGGTGCCTCAGAGGGCCCCATCCACAAGCAAACAATTGTAAATGAGTGACTGTTAGCTCTCCTGCTCAGCGATTGGGCAGCACTGCAGTGGGCAATGCCCGCAGGTTACTGTCAGTGAGGGACCTTTGGGGAAGCAATTAAGTCAAGGGTGGTGTGGTGGCACTCAGGGGGAGACTGAGGCAATAGGCAGAGTCAGGCCTTCTTCCGGAGGCCCTGGAGCTCATGCCGACTTGGGCCAGTGGGTGAGCTGGAGGGTCCAGGGAATAGCCTGGGGACTACATGCTGTAGCGCTCTTTTGTTCCTCTTTGCTGTCTGCCTTCAGGGTGGTGTCGCCTGCATATCTGAGGTGATTGATACTTCTCCCGGCAATCTTCCAGCTTGTGCTTCATCCAGTCTTGCATTTCTCATGATGTACTCTGCATAGAAGTTAAATAAGCAGGATGACAACATACAGCCTTAACATACCCCTTTCCCAATTTGGAACCAGTCAGATGTTTCATGTCCGGTTCTAACTCTTGCTGCTTTCCCTGCATTCAGAGTTCTCAGGAGGCATGTAAGAGGGCCTGGTATTCCCATCTCTTGAAGGATTTCCCACAATTTGTTCTGATCCACACAAGACAATGCTTGAGCTTAGTCAGGGAAGCAGATGCTTTTCTGGAATTGTCTTGCTTTTTCTATGATCCAACAGATGCTGTCCATTTGATCTCATGTTCCTCTGCCTTTTCATAGTCAAGCTTGAACATCTGGAAATTCTTGGTTCATTTATTGTTGAAGCCTAGCTTGAAGAATGCTCAGCATATTTTAGGTAGTGTGTGAGATGACCCTATCCTCATAGTCATTTCAAATCAAGCTCCTTCTTACATTAGTATGGATTTGTTTTATTTAATTGCAAAAATGGCATCAATTCTTTGGTGTTATGCTTATTTCCCCCTTCACAGGTACTAATTAACTCCCTGTGTTATTTCAGGCATCGTTGTGAGTGCAAGGCGCACATCAGGAGCCAACAACCAGGACCCTGGTTTCATGGGGCATACATTCTGGTCAGTGAGGATGGAAGGTTCATACTAACCACAAATAGTCAATTATACAGAATAGCGAGAACCGTATGAGTTATGAGAAACGGGGAGTCTTTCCTTCCCAGAGGAAATTGATGGAAGGCCTTATGAATGCAGGACATTTAAGCAAAGACTTAATTAAAGAAAAGAGGGAGTGACTTTGTGGCTCTCTTGGGCAATAAAGACTGGGGAAAGGAAAAGGCCAGGGCAAAAGCCCCCAAAATGCATTATCTATGTTCTTCCAAGAAAACAAGGAGGCTGGTGCAAGTGGGACTAGGTGAGTGAGGATGAGACTCAAAAGTGATGAGCTGCTGATGAGAGAGATCAGGGCAGGAAAAGGAGGAATGTAATGGTAAACTTATCTTTCCATTTACATGATGAATTGATTCACCAGACACAAACCACACTGGGCTGTGGTGGTAAAAGGGAGAGGCATTTGTCATAGTCTGATGGCAAGGAGGTGGGAGAGGAGTACTTTTCAGTAAAGACACCCGAGATGAATCCTGAGCCAGCTAAAGTAGATAGATCAAGTGGAAAGCTGTGAAAATGTTTCCAGACAGTGAGGGAGAACATGCCAAGGCACCGAGACCCAAGAGGCCTGGCTATACATGCCTTGCATATGACTGGAATCTAAGGTATGATGGGGAAATTGTGAAGAAACATGGCTTTGGAGGAAGAGGGAGGAACTTGAAGCGACACTTGGGCATATGTTAAGTTAATGTGTGGGTTACCCTGCTTTGAAAGAGTATTATTAATATTTTCTAATTGTAAATATACACTCGAGGCAAACCAGTATGGAAATTGCAAAACGGAGTACAAAAATGAAATTAGAGGACACCCATAAGTGTGTCAATAGACATATATACTGTTCATATTCTGCCTTTGTTGTTCTACCTAAACCTTTATAACATATATATTATATGTGTTATATACTGTGAAATATATACATATAATACACTTATATTTAGATGAGCCTATGTACATCAGTGTTTTTTTTAAAATTTATACAAATTGAATCAATCTTTATGCTATATTGTAACCTTCCTTTTCTATACCATATGCTGGGAGAATGTTTCCACCTCAACAAACATGTAACTACCAGTATTTCTGAGGATTACTGTGGTGTTCAAATGCTTGCTTATCCCATACTCCATGCAAGTGCTATGAAGACAGGAACCATGTGCATCTTGCTCACTGGTTGCTTCCATATCTCTTCTATTGTAAGGAAGGATGTAATAAACTTTGGGGTATATGTATCTCTTCAAATTAGTGTTCATTTTCTTCTGATGTTGAGCTTGGTGTGGAATAGCTGGGCCACATGGGAGATCTATTTTTAGTGTTTTTAAGAAACTCCCACATTGTTTTCCACGGTGAGTGCACATATTTACATTCCCACCAGTTATGTACAAGGGTTTCCTTGAGTCCATATCCTTGCCACCATATGTTATTTTCAGATTTTTGGCTTGATGATAGCCATTCTGACAGCTGTGAGGTGATATCTCCCAGTGATTTTCACTTCTCTTTCTCTAATTATTCGTGATGTTCAGCATTTTTCCATGTGCCTATTAACTCATACTGGAAGTACTCTTTCTAGTCTGGTTCTTTAAGTTGAAAAACTTTCAAGTTCTTGCAATCATCAATAACATGTTCCATTTTCTTGTTGAATAGTATTCTCTCGGATGGATGCACCATTTGTATATTGGTTTACCATTTGAATAACATTTGAGTTCTTGCCAGTTTGGGGCTATTATTAATAGAGCCACAGTAAACATTGGCATGAAGCATTTTATGTGAAGAGAAATTCATGTTTTACGCGGGAGTTATTTTCGGAATGGGATTACAAAGTTTTCCAGTGTGCAGATATTTATGAGCAATGAAAAACATTTCCCAAAATGTCTTTATCATTTTGCCTTCTGATGAGTCATTGAGGAGAGTTTCAGTTTCTCTCTTTTCCTGAGAGTTGTTTATGTTCTCAGTTATTTTATTTCTTTTATCCAAGATACAGTTTGCATACTTAATATGCATTCGGTACTAATTACTAATTATTTTATTTAATTTTAGGTGTTTATGAGTCACCTGTACAACGTATGTCCTATCTATGTCAAGCAATTGCTATTCAAATATTTTCCCACATTTAATTGGATTATTTGTTCTCTTACTAGTGAGTTTCAGAGCTCTTATGTATTATGGTTATAATATATTTTGTATGAATATTGATGTGTATGTGTGGGTGTTTGTGTGTATGTAAAATATATCTGTATTTGCATAACCAGCTGAAGAGAGAAAACTATTCTGTAACCTTGAAGGAATTCCCTAATACCACAGTGTTATATTCTTTGTCCATAATCCCTTATGACTACTGATTTCTTTTCCGTGTCTCTAATTTTTTCATTTTGAGAATAATATGTATGTGGAATCATAAAGTACATGTCGTTTTAAGATTGGCCTCCGTTTTACTTTGGCATGCACTTGAGATTCATCCAAGTTGTTACATGTATTAATATTTTCTTCCATTTTTGATGATAAATATTACTGGTATGGTTAACTGTGTTACAGGTATGGTGGTATGGTTATGTAACTATGGTTAAAACCACAGTTGAACCATTCACTCATGGAAGGACCTCTAGCCTCTCTACATTTTTAGCTATGACAAGCAAAGTTTCAATGAAAATTCATGTAAAAGCTCTTATGTTCATTTCTCTAAAATCAATATGCAGGAATAGAATTTCTGGGTCAAATGATACTTGCATGTTTATAGCATGTTGTATAAGAAAGTGTCAAATTGTTTTTCAGGAGAGCTGTACCATTTTATACTCTCACAAGAAATGTATGAATAATCCAGTTTCTCTGCATCCTTGCCACCTTATTGTGTGGTCATGTTTTAACAAGGTGTAGCCACTTTGACAGATAGAGAGCAGTTAGAACTCTTGATAGTTTCCCTGTGCATTTCCGTCATAGCCAATATGCTCAGCATCTTTGCCTGTGCTTCTTGGCCATTGCTGTGACTTCGTTGGCCAAGTGTTTGTTCAAGTCTTTCAATGATCTTGATCATTTTCTATTGAGTGTCTCTTTTCACCTGATGACTTTGAGATTTTTCAATAAGTGTTTTTCATTCCCAGTGAGTTTCCATGCAATTATATTTGTTGGAGTTTTGCACATGTCAAATTATTAATATTTTATGTTTATGCATTCTGACACAATGGATTTAGCCTAAATTTGAGGAACATTAGTTTCTGCATTTCTTTCTTCTAGAACTATAAGCTATTTTTTACTTTATCTATGTACGTTTGCTTTTCCATATATATGCCAATATATACATGTATAAGTTTCTCTGTGTAAGTCAGGATAGTATACAAAGGCCACATCCTATATATAGGATACATCAATAGAAAAGATTCTACTTGTTTTGCTCTTTGAGAAGGACCCTAGCTCTGAAAAATAATGTTAATAAAGAAATGCAGGGAAGTCGAGTATTGATTTATGGAATAGACAGAGTTTCTTGGTAAGACAGCCATTCAAAAGTCTATCAAGTACTGGTATGGTTGTACAGCTGAATGTAAGCACTTTATTAATCTAAAGCTTTTTTAAAAAAAATTAATGTTTAGGTATGGAGCTTCTATAAATAGGAAAGTATTATCACATATTAAATTAAGAGCTTTGGGGAAATGTTCAATCAGAAAATCATGAAATATACTGACAATGTTGGTATAATTGCAGGTTGGAGCAGACATTCATGAATAATGTATAGAACTGCAGTGTTTAGAAGGTTGGGGATGAGATTTCGGAAAGGATCCATATCATTATTAGTATTGATCTATATAGAAAACTAAATTGTTCATCAGTATTTGTATCAGTGTAATTATAAATAAATTGATGTCTTCAGAAGAAAAAGTTCATGTCTACATTATATATCACAAACTAGAAATCTGTCTTCCATTTGAGCCATGCTAGCTCGTCGGAAATGAATAGTCTTTTAACGTCAAATAGAATTGAGGACCAGTAAGAAGGGAAAATATTTCATCCTTTGACTTGCTCCATCATGACTGAGGACAGATTCTGAAAGTTCTATAGAGATCACAGAAGGAGAACAAATAATTACATAATTTGCATGGAAATTCAAAATCTTTGTAGAGCCAAAGCAATGTTGTGAAAGAAGCATGGAATTGGAGGAACCAAGCTGCCTGACTTCAGGCTATACTACAAAGTTACAGTCATCAAGACAATATGGAACCAGCAGAAAGACAGAAATACAGGTCAGGAACAAAATGGAAAGCCCAGAGATAAATCCACCCACCTATGGACACCTTGTCTTTGACGGAGGAGGCAAGAGTATACAATGGAGAAAAGACAATCTCTTTAACAAGTGGTACTGGGAAAACTGGTCAGCTACTTGGAAAGAATGAGACTAGAAGACTTTCTAACCCCATGTACAAGAATAAACTCAAAACGCATTAAAGATCTAAATGTAAGACCAGAAACTATAAAACTCCTAGAGGAAAACATAGGCAAAAGACTCTTTGACATAAATGGCAGCATCGTCCTCAAGGACCCACCTCCCAGAGGAATGGAAATAAAAGCAAAAAATAAATGAATAGGACCTAATTTAACTTAAAAGCTTTTGCACAACAAAGAAAGTATAAGCAAGATGAAAAGACAGGCTTCAGAATGGGAGAAAATCATAGCAAATGAAGCAATGGACAATGAATTAATCTCAAAAATATGCAAGCAGCCCCTGAAGCTCAATTCCAGAAAAATAAATGATCCATTCAAAAAACGGGCCAAAGAACTAAACAGACAGTTCTCCAAAGAAGACATCCAGATGGCTAACAAACACATGAAAAGATGCTCAACATCACTCATTATCAAAGAAATGCAAATCAAATCCACGATGAAGGACCATCTCACGTTGGTCAGAACGGCTCCTATCAAAAAGTCTACAAAGAATAAGTGCTGGAGAGGAACAGTGTGGAGATTCCTCAGAAATTGGAAATGGAACTTCCCTACAACCCAGGAATCCCGCTGCTGGGCATACACACTAAGGAAACCAGAATTGAAAGAGACGCGAGTACCCCAATATTCATCACAGTACTGTTTATACTAGCCAGGACATGGAAGCAACCTAGATGTCCATGGGCAGACGAATGGATAAGCATCCATGCTTCACATGCACAGTGGAATATTACTCAGCTATTAAAAAGAATGCATTTGCATCAGTTCTAACGAGATGGATGAAGTGGGGGCCTATTTTAGACTGAAGGAAGTTAGAAAGAAAAACACCAATCCAGTATATTCATGCATATAAATGGAATTTAGAAAAATGATAACAATGACCCTATATGTGGGACAGCAAGAGAGACACAAAGGTAAAAACAGACTCTTGGACTCAGTGAGAGAAGGTGACAGTGGGATGATTTGAGCAAATAGCATTGAAACATGTATGTGAAACAGATTTCCACTAGAGCTTGGATGCATGAGGCAGGGTGCTCTGGGCTTTTGCGGTGGGAGGATCCTGAGGGATGGGATGGGGAGGGAGGCGAGAAGGGGGTTCAGGATGGGGAACACATGTACATCCATGGCTAGTTCATGACAAAATATGGCAAAACCACTATAATATTGTAAAGTATTTAGCCTCCAAATGAAATAAATCAATTAAAATGAAAGAACTTAAAAAAAAGAAAAACAGGCAGCACACCCAGGGGTCTTTCACTCATACATTTTAAATCACATTCAGTGACTGACTTTGAATCATCAGTGGGGTCACCCAGTCATTAGAGTGCCAGAAAATGTGAATCAGGCAGCTGCAGTCCAGATCAATGATGACATATCATTGAGTTCCAATTTGAACACAACTCTTTGGATGCTGATAGTGAAACTCTGTGTTCTGGTTGCTTCTAAATAGTTTTCTGAAGACACCCAGGATTCTCATCATCAGAACCTCTGCCTTATATATCTCCATATTTGTTTAAATTCTCCTTGAGATTTTTAAAACATTTCAACCTGAAAGTTAACACCAAATTTGATATTGCATTCTCTTTCTTTTAAACCATGATAAACTTCTAGAAGTTGGACTCACAAAAGACTTTATTTATCCATCATCAGTGCAGACTCCTAACCCACTCCACACCTCTACTCTCTGGCTAACTGGGGAACCGAGGGTCTGTTCCCCAACTTCTCAGGACCACATACCCCTCCCGTTTCCAGTGCCCACCTCTTCTCTTCTTTCTCTCCCTTCCATCAGAAAACTCACACACACACAAATAAAATCTTTTCACCCTTTGAGATTTCTTTTATTGCAGCCATCAGCTTACTATGTTAGTGTGAGAGTCTTTTTTGGTTGGCCATTGCTAACAAAGCAGACCCCTGGAGACACAATTCTAAACTGTCTGACCTTTGCTATTCATTAACTGGCTGCCAACGTTGTACTTCTCCAGGGTCTCTTATTTTGGGGCGGCTGAGCTTATTTTCTCTTTGGATTCTGCCTCCTTCCATGACGTTGCCTCATATTTTGGTATCTTTTTCGGCTTTGATTTGATTTCTTACGTCCACAGCCAGAGAAGAATCGGTTTGCTTTTCTTGTTTTCTTTGGCTTCGTCGATTGAGTGGCATACGATCGGATTTTCTTTCTGAAGGTCCCTTGTGGAGGTCTTCTGACCCTCATGGTCATATTTCGTGCCTGGAAGACAAGACAAGGGTATCAGTTTGGAGGAAAGGACATAAAAACTGAGGTGGAAGGGAGATTTCATGAGAAAGAAATGTGAGCTAATGGGGACATTTGTGCCAGGCATGGGCAGGGTAGAGGTCTTGGGCAGCAAAGTCAAAGCAGAACATGGGAAGCTTAGTTGGAATCCTCTTACCTTCACACCACGTCTGCCCCTCCTTTGACAAAGGGTCTTCTTCATTCCATTCTTCCTTGAAGCAAACCGCATTGCAACTCTTCTTGACGGCCGTGGCTTCCTGGTTGCCTTAGTCATGATGGTGCCAAGAAGTGGCCTAACCCAGACTTTCAGCCTCTGACCTCCCTATTTATACCCTTTGAGGACAATGAAGAGCCACACCCTTCAATCTGATTGGTCTGTTAGGCACTGCCCCAGCCAATAGTAGCTTGTGGGGCTTAGACATCACAATGCACCACTGTGACCATCAACATGGGCTAGTGGATGCTGAGGGATACTGTGATATATCTTTCCCACTGCTGACATGTCTGTGTGCCTGATTCTGGGGAGTGGTGATTCAGGGGCCTGGTGCTTCTCCTCATGACCTTAAAACTTCCTTTGCGTTCCCTTTATCCTTTGACTTATATGTGCCACTTCATACCTCATGCCTCTTTCATCCCTCTAGGTACATCTGCCAAACCTTTTCTGTCCCACTTCATCCCTTCAGAGTCCTCTAAGCACTTCATCTCTAGATCACCTTCTGCCTCTTGGGGATTCCTGAGGGGCTTAAGGAACTTAAGAGAAAGCACTTAAAGTGGACAAAGGTAATGAAGAGCAGGTTGGATGTTTTATCTACTGTTGTGAGCTTCAGCGACCCCCAGACTTGGTGAATCCTCAGTCTGTTGCCCAAAGGTCAATATACAGTCTCCATAAGAGTACACATCAGAGCAAAGACAGTTTTAAATGTCTCCTCCACTAAATGTTTTGGGGACACTTCAACTCTCATATTGAGTAGGGAAACTCAACTTGCCCCATTTAGCAGAAAAAAATTCCTGACTTTTGCTTTGTACAAGAGGAAGGTGCTCAAAGTCAAGAATCAGTTCACCACTGCATCGCTGACTCTTGACCGAATCAATTCCCCAGTCACCCCTCCTTGACCGTTATCAGTAGGTAGGGCCCATTGCAGTGCTGACCAATAGCTGGGCAGGGCAAGTACCTGTAGGTAGCTCATTGATAGGTGGTTGCTTGTGGGTGGGGCCAGTGAGGCACTGACCAATGGCTGAGCAAGTCCTGTTGCCTAGTAACAGGAGGCGGAGTAATAAGGCACAGCAATGGCTACCTGGGCAGGGCTCTGCCCATGTTGCTCTGTTACATAAGAACACTTTGGGTCCAGTGTGCTGGCATCTTTTTGACTGACTCCTTTCCAACCTCAGATTTTTATTTCACATGCTTATTTAACTTTTGCCCATCATTCTTTCCGTTCTCTTATCAGGCATTCCTGTCACCAGCGCTTATCTCTATGCCCCTCCAACAGCTGCCACTTGATCACATGTTCCGCATATAGTATACATAGTTCAAAACCAACAAGAACGTGCCGGCCAGCCCACGTTGAAAACTACTTTGAGAAACCTTAACTTCACAGTGATTCCTTTTCTATTTACAGTGTAACAGAGCAGGATGAGCACAGCCCTGAAGAGGGAGCCTTTGGTGTACTCCATTTCAACCCACCCTGTTCCTAGGCAACAGGTGTTGCTCAACCATTGCTTGGTGCCTCAGAGGGCCCCATCCACAAGCAAACAATTGTAAATGAGTGACTGTTAGCTCTCCTGCTCAGCGATTGGGCAGCACTGCAGTGGGCAATGCCCGCAGGTTACTGTCAGTGAGGGACCTTTGGGGAAGCAATTAAGTCAAGGGTGGTGTGGTGGCACTCAGGGGGAGACTGAGGCAATAGGCAGAGTCAGGCCTTCTTCCGGAGGCCCTGGAGCTCATGCCGACTTGGGCCAGTGGGTGAGCTGGAGGGTCCAGGGAATAGCCTGGGGACTACATGCTGTAGCGCTCTTTTGTTCCTCTTTGCTGTCTGCCTTCAGGGTGGTGTCGCCTGCATATCTGAGGTGATTGATACTTCTCCCGGCAATCTTCCAGCTTGTGCTTCATCCAGTCTTGCATTTCTCATGATGTACTCTGCATAGAAGTTAAATAAGCAGGATGACAACATACAGCCTTAACATACCCCTTTCCCAATTTGGAACCAGTCAGATGTTTCATGTCCGGTTCTAACTCATGCTGCTTTCCCTGCATTCAGAGTTCTCAGGAGGCATGTAAGAGGGCCTGGTATTCCCATCTCTTGAAGGATTTCCCACAATTTGTTCTGATCCACACAAGACAATGCTTGAGCTTAGTCAGGGAAGCAGATGCTTTTCTGGAATTGTCTTGCTTTTTCTATGATCCAACAGATGCTGTCCATTTGATCTCATGTTCCTCTGCCTTTTCATAGTCAAGCTTGAACATCTAGAAATTCTTGGTTCATTTATTGTTGAAGCCTAGCTTGAAGAATGCTCAGCATATTTTAGGTAGTGTGTGAGATGACCCTATCCTCATAGTCATTTCAAATCAAGCTCCTTCTTACATTAGTATGGATTTGTTTTATTTAATTGCAAAAATGGCATCAATTCTTTGGTGTTATGCTTATTTCCCCCTTCACAGGTACTAATTAACTCCCTGTGTTATTTCAGGCATCGTTGTGAGTGCAAGGCGCACATCAGGAGCCAACAACCAGGACCCTGGTTTCATGGGGCATACATTCTGGTCAGTGAGGATGGAAGGTTCATACTAACCACAAATAGTCAATTATACAGAATAGCGAGAACCGTATGAGTTATGAGAAACGGGGAGTCTTTCCTTCCCAGAGGAAATTGATGGAAGGCCTTATGAATGCAGGACATTTAAGCAAAGACTTAATTAAAGAAAAGAGGGAGTGATTTTGTGGCTCTCTTGGGCAATAAAGACTGGGAAAGGAAAAGGCCCCGGCAAAAGCCCCCAAAAGGCATTATCTATGTTCTTCCAAGAAAACAAGGAGGCTGGTGCAAGTGGGACTAGGTGAGTGAGGATGAGACTCAAAAGTGATGAGCTGCTGATGAGAGAGATCAGGGCAGGAAAAGGAGGAATGTAATGGTAAACTTATCTTTCCATTTACATGATGAATTGATTCACCAGACACAAACACAAACCACACTGGGCTGTGGTGGTAAAAGGGAGAGGCATTTGTCATAGTCTGATGGCAAGGAGGTGGGAGAGGAGTAGTTTTCAGTAAAGACACCCGAGATGAATCCTGAGCCAGCTAAAGTAGATAGATCAAGTGGAAAGCTGTGAAAATGTTTCCAGACAGTGAGGGAGAACATGCCAAGGCACCGAGACCCAAGAGACCTGGCTATACATGCCTTGCATATGACTGGAATCTAAGGTATGATGGGGAAATTGTGAAGAAACATGGCTTTGGAGGAAGAGGGAGGAACTTGAAGCGACACTTGGGCATATGTTAAGTTAATGTCTGGGTTACCCTGCTTTGAAAGAGTATTATTCATATTTTCTAATTGTAAATATACACTCGAGGCAAACCAGTATGGAAATTGCAAAACGGAGTACAAAAATGAAATTAGAGGACACCCATAAGTGTGTCAATAGACATATATACTGTTCATATTCTGCCTTTGTTGTTCTACCTAAACCTTTATAACATATATATTATATGTGTTATATACTGTGAAATATATACATATAATACACATATATTTAGATGAGCCTATGTACATCAGTGTTTTTTTTTAAATTTATACAAATTGAATCAATCTTTATGCTATATTGTAACCTTCCTTTTCTATACCATATGCTGGGAGAATGTTTCCACCTCAACAAACATGTAACTACCAGTATTTCTGAGGATTACTGTGGTGTTCAAATGCTTGCTTATCCCATACTCCATGCAAGTGCTATGAAGACAGGAACCATGTGCATCTTGCTCACTGGTTGCTTCCATATCTCTTCTATTGTAAGGAAGGATGTAATAAACTTTGGGGTATATGTATCTCTTCAAATTAGTGTTCATTTTCTTCTGATGTTGAGCTTGGTGTGGAATAGCTGGGCCACATGGGAGATCTATTTTTAGTGTTTTTAAGAAACTCCCACATTGTTTTCCACGGTGAGTGCACATATTTACATTCCCACCAGTTATGTACAAGGGTTTCCTTGAGTCCATATCCTTGCCACCATATGTTATTTTCGGATTTTTGGCTTGATGATAGCCATTCTGACAGCTGTGAGGTGATATCTCCCAGTGATTTTCACTTCTCTTTCTCTAATTATTCGTGATGTTCAGCATTTTTCCATGTGCCTATTAACTCATACTGGAAGTACTCTTTCTAGTCTGGTTCTTTAAGTTGAAAAACTTTCAAGTTCTTGCAATCATCAATAACATGTTCCATTTTCTTGTTGAATAGTATTCTCTCGGATGGATGCACCATTTGTATATTGGTTTACCATTTGAATAACATTTGAGTTCTTGCCAGTTTGGGGCTATTATTAATAGAGCCACAGTAAACATTGGCATGAAGCGTTTTATGTGAAGAGAAATTCATGTTTTACGCGGGAGTTATTTTCGGAATGGGGTTACAAAGTTTTCCAGTGTGCAGATATTTATGAGCAATGAAAAACATTTCCCAAAATGTCTTTATCATTTTGCCTTCTGATGAGTCATTGAGGAGAGTTTCAGTTTCTCTCTTTTCCTGAGAGTTGTTTATGTTCTCAGTTATTTTATTTCTTTTATCCAAGATACAGTTTGCATACTTAATATGCATTCGGTACTAATTACTAATTATTTTATTTAATTTTAGGTGTTTATGAGTCACCTGTACAACGTATGTCCTATCTATGTCAAGCAATTGCTATTCAAATATTTTCCCACATTTAATTGGATTATTTGTTCTCTTACTAGTGAGTTTCAGAGCTCTTATGTATTATGGTTATAATATATATTGTATGAATATTGATGTGTATGTGTGGGTGTTTGTGTGTATGTAAAATATATCTGTATTTGCATAACCAGCTGAAGAGAGAAAACTATTCTGTAACCTTGAAGGAATTCCCTAATACCACAGTGTTATATTCTTTGTCCATAATCCCTTATGACTACTGATTTCTTTTCCGTGTCTCTAATTTTTTCATTTTGAGAATAATATGTATGTGGAATCATAAAGTACATGTCGTTTTAAGATTGGCCTCCGTTTTACTTTGGCATGCACTTGAGATTCATCCAAGTTGTTACA